TGCACGTTTTCAGAAGCGACCAGCAGTCTTTGATACCCCAACTGCTGGGTGTCCAGCTACAGAAATAATTTTTAACTGATAAATATATCTGAAGCCAGAGCTCTCTGCTAGGTCTCAGACTGGGTACCCAACTCTAAAGCACCAAAAATCAGTCATAAAGAATTCTTCTTACATTAGTCTATGCTGGCAAAAAAAATAAGGATAATTTCTGTTGGGTTTTTCTTTTTTGCCTTCCAACATTTAAAGTCAGATATAGTCCCTACCCCAACTGTCAGGGAAGGAAGAAGAGTCAGACTACCAGGAAATGTGGGCTTAATCCTGCAAATCCTTATTTCAGACAATATCCAAATTCTTCTATAGAAGTCTTAAACACTTAAGGAACTGCAGAACTATGCTCTTTCACATGAATTGCTGGAGTTTCCCCCACCATGTTCAAGACACCTCTTTTCAGAAAGTTACTGTTCTGAAGATATTTGATCTTTTATAGATATATATACTTATATATTTAAGGATTTTATATATCCAGTGAATCGGAAGCATACGTCAAATGTAAATACATATCTAGGGTGCGTGCTGCACATTAAATCCATATTACAAGCCCGTGAATAGTAGTCACTGCACATGTACCCAAACCAATTTTCAAGGCCTATATATTGCTGTTTTGAACTAGATGATACAAATCTCTTTGTTCTGGGGACTAGCATTACTGCCAGAATTTATTTAAGTTACTGTGTACAAAGTGAATTAAAAAAAGCAGGTGCCATAAAAATTCCTGGTTTAGTTTTCATAAAAAGAAGTTTGTGAACATATGTAAGTCAAAACAAGTATTTGAAAGCTTAGACCAGGCCCTCCTATCGAAGAGCATTGAAACCAAGTTATAAGCACCTGAAAACAGAGGTATAAAACAGACACCCTGACAATGAACTAGTAAAATTATTAAACACTTGCAGCATCTGGATACCAAGGTAGTTCAACTGATAAATGTGAAGACAAATCAGAACAAGTGGACCACTGCCATACAATCTTTTCCTTTTGTGAACATATATTTTTTTCCCCATGACGCTGAGTAAGTTCTCTCACCAAGAGTTCAGACACAGCAGCTCTGTAACACAAGCAAACAGAAAACAAGTCCAGCTAAGTCATAGCTCCCGCTGTATGAAGAGTAACTGAGACACTTTAATCCAAAGAAATCTGGAAGGTGACTTACTTCATAAATTAAAAAAAAACAAACAAAAAAGCACCTGTTCCTTCCAAGCGCTGTCACAACAGAGCAACCCTTTCATTAAAAGCAAACCAGGAAGATGCAGCGATTTTATAATGCAATTCAATGTGAACACAGTCAAACTATCAAAGAGCTGATTGTTCAGCACTGATCTTCCAACAAGATTTCAACGCTGAGGGGTTTTTTGTGGTTTGGTGATGGCATTTTCAAATTTTAAATGAAGAATATGCTCAAGTTCAGAAGAGCTGATAACTAGAAAAGAGCAACTGCGGTAAAACTGAGTTCTTAATTCCACCACCCTTCTAGTTAATCAATGCACCACATTCATTACCTACAGAGCAGACCCTCTGCGCGCTGTGTGTCGCTGGTAGTCACACGAGCTGCACACAAGAAAGCAGAGCCATCCTTTATCTTGGTGACACATAAAAAGTTCATTGCTCCACTCTTTTTACATGTTCTTCCCCTCACCAATGCTACTTAAACTGCACACAGAAATCAATTCACTTTCTTCCCAATCAGTAACACTCCAAAAAGCTTACAGTTAGAAAACAAAGCTTTTAGTGACAACCTGTGTGGAATGTGCAAGTTTGTTGAATAAACGCCTTGCATGTTCAGCCAATAGCTGCTTGTTCTTTTACTGTGAAATCCACGATGTTAAAACATCCCTGGCCAGTTTTCACTCTGTTTCTCACATGGTTTGAGCTTTCTGTTAGCCCAAAGGCACACCTCAAGATCAGTATTCAAAGCCATTTAACTCCTGATCTCACGACGAGTACAGAAGAGCACAAGATCGTGAGGACACCAGGAGGCCGTTTCCCCTCTGGAATCACATACACGTACTACAACAGCACGAACCCTGTGCAGCGCAGTCAGCTGGCCTCGTGTCAGAAAATGCCATCTTTCCAAGTAGGAGACTGTACATTTTCCAGCAAGCAGGAAGCCTTAGAAGTGAGAGAAATAATGACTTTGGAAATGTAAGACTTTCCAGAGCATTTTCTGCAAATTTTACTTGCGCAACATTCCCCCGGTCTAAAAGGGAACTCTGGATCCTGGGGCAGGAACCTGTCTCAGGTACCAAAGGTGACTTTTTGAAGACAAAAAATTCGTTTTTCACAAGTGACCTAAAGAAAGTAAAACTTGGTAACAACTTCTCATTCCACATTTTTAAAACATGACGCTCCTGATATAAGCTCCAATGCTCCAATTCTGCTTCCTGGTCTTTCCTATTTTCACATCACTCCCTAATGCAGTACTCATTTTGTCCTGGTTGGTGTATTTGGTATTGTAACGCTTTTCCTACATTCACAATTACTTGCTCACAAAGTATTTAACATTTGGTTGACGCTAAAAGCAAGAGTGTTTGTTACAGCACTGCTAAGGCTCCATCAGGCAGCAGCAAAGACTATAGCACTGCCAAAACGAATGAGAAACCATCAGTTGCACAGTGTTGCTACACGTGAATCACTTTGCTCTGCAAATATTAAAAATGCTCAGCAATTAACAACATTGAAAAGTGGAAGTCATACGTTCTTGCTTGTTTTAAAACATAAGTAAATTAGAAATGTAGAAGAACTATATTTATGCATCACCTAGGCAAAAGAAAAACACTGTGGTAGCTTAAAATGCTACACATGCTTTTTAAGAACTCATTCTAAACTTCTGTGGCTTTTCACCACCCTGTTTTAATATCTGCTCATGAAAACTGTTAACAGTTCATCAATAAGGTGGGAAAATATTTTATCTTTAGTGGAATCAAGTTCTCATTTAGACAGAGAGTGATTTCTCATTTTTTTAAATCAGAAGCTTGCTTAGCACAGCAGATAATGAAGGAGTTCCCTCATTTTGTGTCTCTGCTGATTATAGTTTTATAGCAGATACGTGCACTGCTAGAGCCCAGGTAAGAGTCATGGAGTGGTTCTGAGAGAACTCGTGATGAAAGAGGTGGGGAAACAAAACCAAGACTTTCAAGGCCAGAAGGTAGGTAATTTTTGCATCTAGGTTTTCTAGAGAGGTATTTAGTAAAGGCCTAATGCCGGTTTTATTACAAGAAAACAGAAGTGCTTAGTGACTGACTAGTAAATACAATATAAGGGAAGGGAATCAGGTGGGGCAGGGAAGGAGAACTCACTCCTTGGTGGCAGCAGCAGTTTTGGTGCATCCATTGCCGGCAATGGACATAAACACCAGTCAAAAATCCAAATCTCAGAGCAAAAGGATTCATAGATGTGACCTTTTTGGATTTCAATGTTTGGCAGATCTGTCTGAGCTGTTTGTGTGCTACAACGTGTACAAATGCTACAGCCTGCATCTTAATTCAGAATCAAGAGGAAACTGAATGCTACCCAAACCAAATTTGAGTTCTGCTCTTTATGTGCTCCATGGTGTTTGGTTTTGTTTTGTTGTTTTTTTCCTTTTGTCACCTTTTTTGTTCTTTTTGAATAAAAGCACATGTCACTTCATGCCCACTCAAAAGTTGACGAGATGTCTCGGAGTCAAGCGTTTTCTCTCAGAAATACTGCCTTCTTGAAATCAGTTGGTCACAGGACAATTAGTAAAATGTATTTTAAGAAAATTCTAATGGCCAAAGGCCAACCACTACATTCAAAACCTGCTAATACATCCAGGCAGATAAGTAAAATCAAAACAAAAAACACACACACAAACCTCAAACAGAAAAACCTCCAAAAGGAAAACTGTTCCATTTGTTTACTTCAATTTGAAGTAGATATTAAGGACATGAATGGACCAGTCACGGTTTATTTGAACATCCCTCAATCCTCTGATGCACTGTCACTCTGTGGCCAATGGCGTTTGTATGTACACATTTCATTCTGAATACTCCAACAGATGGTGAGACTCGAGTGGCCGGGCAGCTACCGCAGGGTTCTTTTGTTGGTAAAAGGTTGCAGCACGTCAAGATACCATCCAACTTACAGACCAACTTCACATCGCTACATCCTCCCGCTAGACACTGTGCATCGAAGACCCTCTGATGAACGATGCATGAGACAGCTTCAGAAATTGATGGCTAGCGTGTTTTGACTGTCAAAAACTTCATTACAGTACACTTTACTATACAAACACTTTAAAGGATATTTATTAGGAAAGTCTGCAAGTCATAATGGATAGCAGAGTTCTTGTTTATGGTACCTTCTTGGCCTCTAATAATTCTGTTTGCCTCCGGTGTTAATCAAACTGCTTCCATGAATGTGATTACTAAAATGAGCTATGGTATGTTAACCTACAACTCACAAAATGCGACAGTACAGACATTATTGGTTTTTAACTGTCTGTTAAGTTGTAATCTAAGTTGTGAACATTTAAATAGAATATATCTCTCATATGAAAAAGCTAAAGCACAAGTGCTTCTGCATTCCCGCCCCCACCCCTTGAGCCAAACCCACCCCAGTTCCGGTTTGGGCCCTGACCAATTTGGAATGCTTTCTTAGGCCACCCATTTCCACAAATTTGTATGCACTCAGGAAATATAAAGTCAAAAATATACAAATCTCTTGTTGTTATAAGGTTTTTTGTGAGTGAAATTACCCAGGACCATGGACTTGGAAGGTGAAGGGGGGGTAAGAGAGGGAATTTACAGCAATTCATCTTCAAAGTTCAAAACTGGTCACTTCACAAAAAGACTGCAGGACTGGTGAAATTCTTGCTTCTAAAAAGTGATACTGTAGTGGAGAATTTTCTAGGAAAAATAAAACAGCTTTTAATAACTGGCCCGCTGGTATGAGCTACCGTGGAATAAATTAGCACAAAAATGGAAGTTTTATAACTGTTCACTGTTACAGACGTAATCAACAAGGTCAGTCACTCTCAAAAGTTCGTCTTCGTCTTCCTCCGGCCCGACCGCCTCCTGCCCACTTCCCGTCCCATTGGGCGCCAGGCTGGCGCTGGCTGTGCTGTCCTTGGGGGCCTGGGTCTTCTCGCTTGGCTTGCCAATCAAGTTCTCAATGGTTTTACCTGGGCTCTGTCCGTTGGTGGAAGGCAAGTCCACCAGGCTGTAGTCCAAAGGGCTCTCTACTTTCCCTACGTTATCAAAGTCATCTTCATCGTCGCTTTCTATCCGGTAGCAGTGCTTCTTGGTGTTGTCTTGAGGAGCTTGCGGTGCTGGCAGCTTATTTGCAGGAGCGGGGTTTTCAGCGTCGTCGTTAGCGTTTTCGCAGTTATCTTCCTCGTCTGTTTCAATTCGATTCAGCCGTTTGCGGACAGGCTTCCCCTCCTCTTCCTCTCCTCCTTCCTCAGAGTAGTCGTCTGTACTTCGCCGACGTTTCTGAATCAATCGCTTGGACTCCTTTGTGGATTCATCGTCGTCAGAGTTCTTCGATGTGTAGCTCTCTGGAATAAGCAGCAGACTTAAAGCCATTAGCAAATCTGAGTGCAACCAAAACAGTGACACTTTTTACATTTCTCATCCTTAACGCTCATTAAAAAGCCATCTCTCTGTCTCACCACACACAACTCCATCTCCTTTCCCAGGCTCCCCAACAGTGTCAAAACATTTGCATTCTTTTTACTTTCTAAAGAAAATGCTCGAGCAGCAAAGACCAACAATTTGTTGATATTCTGCTCCCACTCTGAGCAGCACCAGAGGCTTTGGAGGCAGGTGTATTCCCCCCCCAAAACTGCATGCCAGGAAATATGCAGGACTCTATTCTTAATCTCACAGCAACTCCTTTACACCCTCCCAGAAACAGGAGAGCTCAAATAATAGCTGCACTATCATAAAAAGATATGTATAGATACACACACAACTGTATTACACTTCCACCGCTCCCAAATTATATATGTTTTTTCCAAATCTTATGAACACTGCCTGTCACCTGAAGTTTGCTGCCCTTTAACAGGAGGCCTTTTTATTTTTATTTCCTACACACTGACCTTTGATGGCTTAAGTGAGAAAAAGATGGAGACTGAAAAATCGAATGGCAAACACCATTTGCTATCTGCTTGTGACGTCCATGAGAAAAGCATGTGAGTTGACATTTTAAATGATATTATTTAATGTAGGTTCAAGCTGATAGAGACTGTCAGAGTTCCTGTATTTTCAACACAATTACATTTCCAGTAACACTGTTACATATTTTACAACACACTGTGGGAGCACCACCAGCACAAACACAATCAGGGTACCAGAAGTAATACCCTTTCTCTTACAAAAGAGAATCTTTAAAGACTCATAGGACAAAGGTTTGTGACCTTTTAAAAGAAAAGTGGTGAAACGGTTACATTAGTAACAGCTTTGGAACCCCAGCACTCCTTGCCAGAAGCAGGAAATTGGCACCTGGATGTCAGGATTAGGGACAAGGATGACTGAGAAGCCAACTGTAACAGTGCATGGGGACTGTTTCGGAAGGAAAAGGTTTCTGAGAAACATCACAGAACTCTAGGAAGAAGATTCTCCAAAACCTCTAAATTATCTTGTTTTCTCTTCATGCTAGTGCTGACGTACACCAGCTCCTGCAAACAGGGGACTGTTTGTTTTACCTTCACTCTCTGAAGTGGAGAGCCTGAGTTTATAAGCTCTTCTTAACTCTT